TTTGTCTTGGATAGCTCTTCCAGGGTGTTGTTTAACACGACAATACGTAGGATGAAAAATAAACGATTGACCTTCTTTCTAGCTTCCATGCTACTTTTGATCGATTGCTTGTAACACCAAGGACGGAAATAGGGAAGTTTAAGTACGTTGTCAAGGTCTGCGAAAATAAGGATAGACAGGACATTAGTGCAACAAGCGAGACTAACAAAACTTATTTCTAAGGACGACATCGCAAGAAAAGCATGAATTAGTGTCATATGAACAAGGCGAGCTCATAGGTCCTCTGAAAACCCACCTGCCCCTTCAGAACCCAGCGTTATCCATCCTGTTTCAAGGGTCATTACATTGATCATATACGACAAGCTGCTGGTTTACTTAGCTATCCAGCATGTGCTTGCTCTTGATTTCAGTTAGTTTGAACGCTATTTGCAGTTAGTGCCTTCATATCCATCCCTGTCCTTGATGTGACATTTTGACTGTCGCTCTCGAAGGCTTGCAGTTGCACAGCACAGAATATTCTTTCAGCGCTACTTTGCATCATGATATATTAAGCCTTTCAGCGCTGTTTATGGGGCTGGATGAGCTGAAGCATCAGCTGCCTGAGGGTGAATAGAAGCGAGCCTAACTGGTTGCAGCGCATCCGCATGCTGAGTTTCGTATTACTGTTTATCGGTCGCTGGCGATACGCTCCACACCCTGCTGGCCTACCAGGTCTATACCCAGTAGAGGTACTGAGACTCATACCGGAATAAAGCTCGAATGTATGAGCCTATGCAAACTACTAGAGGGCTAGACACTGAGTAATACCGGCGATAATCTGTGGTTGTGTTAGGGATACCAAGTTTTTCCCAGCACACCCATTGGACGGCGGACCCTTGTCACAGGCGGCTATCATCACCAGCTGCTTCGACTGCCGACGTATGTCCTAAGCGCGGGCAATCGATACCATGCAGTTCCCATCGAAATGGACAACCCGCCACAAATTCGTGGGCTGTGGCTGTAGATGCCGAGATACCTTTGCCGTGCGCAGGATTAGCATCTGTTTCCCTAAAGGAACTCCCAAGTTCCCTGAAAACGTTCACGATTAGTCGTCACACCGAGTTTACACAAGAAGCCTGGCGACTTCATGTGAAACTGGATCCACAGAAGGTTTTCTTCTGGAAGGTCACAGGCATGGTCGGCCTGATTAAAAGTTAAAAACCGTTTCAGATCAAAAATGCTTCGTCTCTTTTCACTGATTCTCCCAGTTTCCACGTAATAGAACCACCCCTGGGGGGGGACATTTGAACGTTTTTGTTCAAGGGACCCTACGTGTTCTAGGTAGTCGTGCCAACACCATTCAGGCTTCTCGGAGTGGCTGGGTCGTGCCCTCAACCGGCTTCGCAGGTCACCTCAGGTAAACCAGGTGCCGGAGAGTTGCGTTTTACTTTGAGTTCCGTATCTGGTCGTCCAAAATTGCCGAACAAGATTCTGCAGCTCTAACACCCCAGAAACCAAGCATAGAGCCCCCTATGTATCGAGGCACTTTCTGCATACCGATAAATTTTCAGTATCCTAACTGATGCAGCCACTTGTGTCAATGAAACCAGATAACACTGGGGTGTCGCTGCGATTATGAAGCCGAAGTGTACTCCTGACGAGAGCTGTTGGTCAAGATGTCACAACCGAGAAAATTAATAAGCATTATCTCACGTTCGCTGGCACTGACCATTCGGACTGGATTGAAGTCCTCAGTATCTCAGGTTTAAATGCATAAGTATTCCCTGGAATTAGCAGTATAAGGCTGGCTTTATGCTGCACAGCAGTACTGGTTCCTTGACCCCAGTTGATGACTATGACACATTATTGTTGTAGTTCAACATGGGGAAATTTACTGCTACTACGCACATGCTAATATCCTGACTTTAGACAACACTGACACCCATCAGAAAAAATGTGATTTACTTCTTCAAAGTAGCTCTGACTCGTTGGCACTGTATGCCTGGCTTGGCTTGGGCTACAACAGATAACAGACGAGGAACTTAGACCCACCACCAATCCACCATCGCATATTTATTACCACCACATGTGGGGCCATTGAGCGCATCCACAGATGCATGCGATCCCAAATAATCAGCTCCGCATGCACACGTCTGCAAGAAACCAGGATCTTCACACATGGCCTTTTGTGCACGACCATCACTGGCCTCAAATTACTGCCCAAATTGTCTGTTACTTGCTTGACGAGTAATTTTTCACACCCGGGCGGCCGGGACGTGTCACGTGTCACATTAGGAGGGGGTCGAAAACGTGAACAAGTACAATGGGCCTGGTGTGATGTCGTCGACAAAAGTATAATTTAGAGAACCTCTCCCACAAACGAACAGGATCATCTTTTCCTTTATGAGTGATCGCCATCTTCACTGTCCTCAGTGAGTGTTGCTGTAGGCCTTTACTGTGCTGAGATTCGTGCCTCTCCTGACAGAACCTTTTGCAGCACTTGTATTCAGTTCTAGAAACAGATCCTTACAATTTGCAACGGCACTAGCCCTCAAAGTAGCGTACTGGCTTCAGCGCTGTACAATATAAGTGAAAAACTTGGGCACTGTGGTAGGATGTAATTCCATATTAGATTTGTTTATTTGATATATAGCGCACAGCGATGCAGTATTGTTTACTTATTTATTTACTGTATCACTGTGCGCTATATCTCAAATAAACGAACCTAATATGGAATTCAGCGCTGTATGACTGGTCTAGGGCTTTCTTGTGTTTACTCCTCTGCCGGCTGGAGCCCGCTAGTAAGAACAGTAAGTGAAAGAGGCCAACTTGAAGAGATGAGGGGCAGTGGATCGTACCAACGTGTCAATACCGATCCCCTGTCTATCAACTCTAACGGACGGGCACTAGCACCGGACTTGCTAGATATCCATACCGTGTCTCTGATTTGTATGCCGCTGAATAGTATGTCCCGTTTAAATCCCATACGCGTAGTCGAAATATGCTCCTTGAATCACCTTCTCCAAACACACATGTGTTTAAAATCCTTTGCACGATCACATTGGCTAAGATTGCTATGAAGAACTGAAATTCGTTGGCAGATTATTGTCGCACATCCTCGCAAACATGTTGGCTACCGGTCTACTCCCCACTTGGAGGTTGGGGGACAGTCTGCTGAAATGTCAGTGATCACAATACATATTTCTTCAGAACGACTGCCTTCAGTAGGGCACACCAATCTCTTGCTCCGAAGCGAAAGTTGTGTACTATGAAGTACCAGTTCAACTAGCAGTATCGGAAACATGGAATGAGGGTCTCTGGAGACCTCTTGGTTGGAGTCAGCTCCAGAATGAGTGACCCATTTTTCTACGCTGCTTGGCCCAAGTGGCCTGAGTTGGGTTGAGTGCTTTGGGACTGCTTTCATGACAGTCGGTCTAGGTCACCCATTGTCCAACGTGACCGCATCGGTGCGAAGTTAGGGGCAGACAAGCACCACTAAGGATAGTGAGAGTGAAGGTGCACGAAACGTATCGAGTTCAATTATCCTGAATGTTTAAATGAGAGACACCATGAAAAATGATGGTATACTTAATAACACGAATGCTCCACGGAGTAACCTAATTTAAAAAATCCAGATCAAAATACGCAGGTTAGCACCGGAGTGAGACGTCACCGAACCGCAATAGTTTAACTAGAAGGACTCATTTTGCAGCTCACTGACATTGATGTACCCCACTTTTGTTTGATAACTGACATGGATCGAATGTGAACATAAGAAGGCATACATTGTTACTGATATAAATAGTGATTGATCGTTTGACAGGGTCGAAAGAACCACCAAAGCCAATTCAAGCGTTGAGCAAAGAATTGTTACGGAAGTATGCTTTCGTAACCCAGCTGACTTCCTTGCATTTTACCTATTGCCTCGAAGAAATACTCCATGCCTTCGTTGGCCAAACTACTGCCTTCCTATCAGGTGTGAGAAGTTATTGAGCGTTATTTTTGCATTCTAGAACAGTGTACCACTTTTCCGGTGAAGGTGAGGCTGCCTGAGAGAGCGATTCTCTTGGAAACAACGGGAGACGAAAAGAAAACATTAATAGTGGCGGAGTTGTAGGACTGATCCAACGTAAGCCCGCAGAGGGGTAATGACTAGGGTCGAAGCAGATAGTGTGGGGGAATAAAATCGACATATCTGATGTGATCAAAATATGCCTTATGTGATAACCAGCAAACCAGTCGAGAATATTGATAGTGACATGTTGGTACTGAGTGAATGCTTGTTTTTCAGCCTAGCTTTACCCTGGTTTATTGAGTGATATCCACGTCTGTGTACACGGCTTCCCCACCTCTTCTCGAAATAATCTGTTGCTATTGAGTCTCTGAGTTACTGGAAACTCATTACTTCCAGATGCAGAGAGTCCAACCGCAAATCCCGCTGAGGCCTTTATATGCTGTTCATTGCAGGATTTCATTTATGTTGTTTTGAAGGCCTTCAGATTGAATTCCACGAAGGATATCGTAGATGGAGTTATTCGACCTGCGCAGTGTTTTGTACGGAATTCTTGTAATAGCCAGCATACTGTTGTATCCGAATACAAAGTTTTATCTCAGAAGGCCTTACTTGTATGGTTTTTCCTTGAACTGTCGGTCAGAGATAATTCCTTGTCATTCGATGAAATAAGTTTGACAGCCTATAAAACGTTTCAGTGTTTTATGGTTTGCATTTTGATTGAACACTAACACAAATATAAAACTTGACAGATTGGCTACAGTGTTTCTTTTCATTTTAATCAATTTCTGTAGACAACGTACTTATTAGAAATCCATCCTTCAAAACTTTTTACGTCTTTGAGATGTTATCTTTGTTTCGTAAGTCTTGCATGATTTTGTTCTTATGCTTCATAAAGTAATCGAAATAAGAGGCGGGTGTTCGTTATGCCAGACAAACGTGGTTTGGCTGTACAGAATGTAAATGACTTGGTAGGCTTTTAAGTGTTATTTCCTTATGAAGTTCCTAGGATGTATCAAAGCTAACTGCTTTATCTCCAGAGGTCATAAGTCGTCAGGCTACCATAAATATTGGGACCATTGGACATGTCGCCCATGGAAAGACAACAGTGGTTCGTGCAATCTCGACCGTGCATACTATCAGGCACAAAAATGAACTAATTAGAAACATCACGATAAAACTGGGTTATGCTAATGCAAAAATATATAAGTGTAATAGTGAAGCATGCGTACGTCCTGCCTGTTATCGTTCCTTTGGAAGTGCAACGGATGACTCCTTACCTTGTCCAAGACCCGGATGTGATGGCACACTTATATTACAGAGGTAATTCATTTGCTGATTTTAAAATATATTCGTGATCAAAGGCCTTCAAATCTTTGCTTGCTTTTTACTTCCTTAAGTGTTCCAAATCTTGTTTTTCCATTATGTTATGATCACTAATATACGTGTTTCCTCCAACACTGAATTTGTTGTCTGAGAATCGAAGGTTAGGAGCCTATAATAATCCGCTTCTAGTAGGTTTCTGTGCCTGTCCTACCCCCTTTTGAACAAGTCAATTGATGATACGGATATCACTTCTTCTGGGAGTCGGTCCCAGGAGTTTACTCAGTGCGAGGACCAGCACCCTGCGAAGACTATGTTCGTTGTTTGCTTTTGTAACCTCCTACTATGTCTCTAAAGTGTTCCGACCTAGAGGGAAAGGAAAGAGATCATGTCCGAAGTCATTTCTTAGAATCCTGTATAGCATGATTAGATCTCCCCTCTGTCCGCAATAGGATAAAGAAAATTTAAGCTCCTTTAGCTGATCCTCGTTAGTAAAGCCAGCCATCGCAGGGATCATACAGGCGGTTGCCATCTAAACTTACAGAAGGTCTGCATCACCTTTCAGACATGGGTTTGTTGCATATGTACAGTTTTCTAATCTAGACCTAACTGAGGATGTGTATAAGATGATGAACATACCACTTATTTTCGCAAACGTTCTTCGTAATGCCCAGTGTCTTAAAACCCCTAACTGCTGCCAGTCGACAGTGTGCCATGGTTTTCAAATCATAACTCACTGGCTCCTAAGTCATTGTGGGTCAGCACTGACGGTAGAGGAGTCCATCCGTATCGTAGGTGTTGCTATGTGTATGCCCTAAGTGCATGCTCACACATTTACATCCATTGATAGGCATCAGCCACTTCCTTAACTAGGTAAAGAAACTGTTCGGGTCAGCCTGAAGCGCATGTATATCCTCATCGTTCCTAATTTCCCGCCAGATGTTTACATCATCAACGTAGAGAACTTTATGGGATTTAGTGATATTTGGCAGCTCATTTACGTACAGGAGAAACCTCAGGGGGCCAAGGACTGTGCCTTGCGGCACTCCACTCTCTACCGACTTCCAAGTGGAGAGTTGAGAATTGATCCTAACTCTTTGTCTCCTACCAACAAGAAAGTCTCTTATCCATGCGAGCAGACTGTCAGTGATTCCAAAACTTCAGTTTTTCAAGCAACCTGGAATAAGGTGCTTTGTCAAACGCCTTACTTAAGTCAATGAAAATGACATCTACAGGTATCCTATCATCTTTAGACTTAACCCAACTTTCTCTGAGTGTAAGAAGGTTCGTCAATCCAGAGAGATTTCCACGAAAACCGTGTTGTGAACCATATGATAGGGTTGCTCTCTAGGTGGACTGTGGTGACTTTCTTGATTACTCTTTCTAGGATTTTCACTACAGCACTAGTCAGACTTATCGGTTTGTAATTTGATGGGAGCTGCCTAGAACCTGCCTTCTGGATGTATTATTATGGCATCCTTCCAGTCATAGGGGAGTGTGCCTTCATTGAGAGACAGTCTCAATATGGTAGTCGATGAGCCGGCTACTTAGAGTGCAAGCTCTCTGAACAGCCTTGGGTGCAGCTCATCCGGTTCCGTTGATTTTTCCACGTCGAGATTACTCAATATCCAAAATGCGTCACCGCGTTCGATATTCATATAGTTTATTCTGTTAGATGTCAATGCTTTTACTGTTGGATAACTGTCCACAAAAGATTCCTGTGTGAAGACCTCAACAAAATATCCAGCCGCAGCTTCTGCTTTTTCCTTGTCGTCCTCATTCAAACGGTCAGTTTCGGTCCCTCTGATTAGAGCGGGTATACCACGACGCATCTTATTTCTGTGGTTCATGTAGGAAAATGAACCCTTCGTTTCTGCAATGCAGCCTGGGCAAGACGTGTTTCATAGCATATTCGAGACCGGCGGATAGCAACGATACATTTATTGCGAGCTTCTTTGTGATCCTTCACCACTTCGTGTGTACTCAGGTGGGTCACAAGACTCCAATACTTTTTCTAAAGTTGTAGCGAGGTTCGGACTTCGTGCTTTATCCACAGAGGGCAGTGTTTCCGTCCCCTCGAGACAGTCCACGGAATGGACGGTTGGGTCACTCGTGCATATAACTGTTTGAAGGAGCACCATGTAGCTTCAAGTGAGGCTTCTGGATTGACTGTCCAGTCCTCCGAAAAGGCTGCCAAGATAATAGTTTCCATATTCGCTTCCCACATATTGGGTCCAGTTGCGGCATCGGCCTGCTACAAGACGTCTGCTATGAATCTGAAGGTGATCACAGCGTGATTATTTTTACCAAGGGGTGCAAGTTGCCGGATAAAGCATACATCATGTGTGAGAATACTAAATCTAGAACCGACCGAGCATGATGATGACCATATCTGGTTGCTGTCTTAATGTCCTGTATAAAGGCCAAGGAAATTGGTGTTTCCACTAACCTGTGATCAAACGAGTTGCGCGATGCTTCTGTTGTTAGTCAACTGATGGCGCGTTGAAGTCTCCTACAACTAGACATCGGCATTTATCTGTCCAGAGAGTCAGCTCATTCAGGAGGAAGTCTGTTGCTTCAGGGCTTCGATATGTTACGATTACGTTAACATGTCCTTTGCATTTTAGTCGCCAGTGCAGCATTTCACATGTCCCGCTTTCATGTGCAACCGTTTCTATGACTTTTACAGTTAAGGTATTCTCAACGTAAAGGATGACACCACCACCTTAGCGTGCTAACCTGTCACTTCTAAAAGACAAATCCTCGTGTGTTCCACAGTCACTGATCCAAGAAGAGAGCCAAGTTTCTAAGATAGCAATGATGTCAGGGCTTTCGTTGCTTATCACATTACTAAGCTCAGACCACTTGTTTAAGAGACTACGTGCATTTATGTACAAGACGATGAAACTACTTAAATGAGTTTCCGCTTTATCCCTAGAGGCTTCGACATCATTTGTTGCCGAAATCTTTCAGTTAATTTGAACCACGAGAGTACGATTTCAACCAACAGTTAAAGTCCTCATGGATGGATTTATGCCACGTTTTGTCTTGATCTGTCAATCGCCAGCTTTTTCCGAACATAGTCATTGAGGTTTCTTGTCATAAGAAGTCACCTTCACAGATTGATATATCTTGTGGCCATTTTCCCTTTCATCTACTTTCAAGAACATCGTGAGATGGGCGATATTTTGATGTGTGACTCGACGTCTGACCTGGTTCGAAGAAACTTCATAATGGTTGTGTATCATTACCTAAGAGTCTATCGCTAACATCAGTATAAGCCACCCGTATTTTGCATAGTACGTAAATGCTTTGGATACAATAGTATCTGCGACCATGTTGCCGTATATCTTCCATCTTTAAGAACTATTTGATTTTTTACAGTTAGAAGGCACATTGCTGCAAAATACAGTTTCATATGCCTATATCTCTTTTCCCGGTGGCACCATAAGTTATTGAGAGCCAAACAAACCTTGGATGTCTATCTATAACTTCCACTTCGATAAGGTATGTAGTTGGAGTAACACTTTTTCAGTGATTCTAGTCATCCTTATAAAACTGGGAAAGCTAAACTGTTGTTTTTGACTTGGTGTCATTTTCTAAAATTTTGTTGATGCACACAAATTTCACTTCATAATTTCAAAATTTCTCAACCAGGCATGTTTCGTTTGTGGATTGTCCAGGACACGATATTCTCATGGCAACTATGTTGAACGGTGCTGCTGTTATGGATGCAGCATTATTATTGATAGCTAGCAATGAAGCGTGCCCACAGCCTCAAACCAGTGAGCATTTAGCTGCTGTAGAAATCATGCAACTTAAATATATCATTATTCTGCAAAATAAATTGATTTAATCAAGGAAAGCCAAGCACGTGAGCAGTATTCACAGGTAAGTTGCTAAAGAAAGTGTAAGCTCTTCACATAGATTGATAACATTAACTGGTACATCCATAATGGGTGTAATGTGTTTGGAGTTGAGTTTACATACTGATCAACACTACATGCACCTATGTTGGAATTTATGCCAATGCATCACATTTTGATTTATTGAATGTGTTATGTGTACAGTGTTATTGAACTATAACATCTCTAACGCATAGATAGGCATATGATGTGTTTACTACTATTGATGGACAGTGGCTAGCGGTGGAGTCCAGGATGTGCATTTCATCCTATTCGGGACTCATCAGCTGGATGTACCTGCGTTCCCAGTGAGTGATGTTGTTCTCATTAAATTTGTTGAAACCAGCATTGTCAGCTTCCTTTCTGGTACCAGTGTAGAGGACTTTGTCATTGAAAATTTCTTGAGGTATTTTAAGTAATATTAATCACTTGTACGTTAACCATAAGCGTTTCAGGGTAGTGTATCGCTGAAAACCAATGATTCTTGATTTGTTTGTCAATATATTTTGAAAAAATCTGTCATACAGAAAACCTTTCGGTACTTTTTGGCGTTTCAGGTGGAAGAGTTTACTTGTTCCTCTTATGTAGATCACTTGAATTGTACTATCACATTACATATCCCTTTTTAGATCTTACGTTTTATTCAGGGCACTGTTGCTCAGGGTGCCCCAGTGGTTCCAATTTCTGCACAACTGAAGTATAACATTGATGTTGTTTGTGATTATATAGTAAATCACATCCCAGTTCCAGTACGGGATTTTACATCAGCACCTCGTTTAATTGGTGAGTTGCTTGACTGTAGATACAATTTTCTACACAGCGAGTAGACTTTCACGACCGATCAAAAAATTTTCTTCACTTTTTCTTGTTTGTAGTCATCCGATCTTTTGATGTGAACAAGCCTGGCTGTGAAGTGGATGATTTACAAGGTGGAGTAGCCGGTGGAAGCATCTTGCGGGGTGTCCTAAAAGTAGGTCTTTCTGCAACCTGTCACTGATTGGTTTCTTGTCCCACCTGGTCAGTTGTAAATGCTATTCTACTATGCTGGTTATAATTAATAGCTTTACACATTATTGACTTTGTGGCGGATATTAACTTTTGTTTTCTCTGTTTTTTCGTGCTTTTTCCACAGGTTGGACAGAAAATTGAAATCCGACCGGGTCTCGTTTCAAAGGATGCTGAGACTGGAGGTGTTACCTGTAGACCTATTATTTCCTGTATTGTTTCTCTGTTTGCAGAGCAAAACGACCTTGCGTATGCTGTCCCAGGAGGTTTGATTGGGGTTGGGACGAAAATCGACCCACAGTTATGTCGTGCTGATCGTCTTGTCGGGCATGTCCTAGGTGAAGTCGGCACGTTGCCTGAAATATATGTAGAATTGGAGATATCATTCTTTCTTCTACGGCGCCTATTAGGTGTTCGCACTGAAGGTGATCAGAAGGGAGCTAAGGCAAGTGGTCTGTGCGTTGGCTTATTCAAACACGTCCCTGTTGAATATATATATATATATATATATATATATATATATATATATATATATATATATATATATATATATACTACCCTGACGTTTCAACGGTTATATCATGGTACTTGTGCAACAAATACTGTTTGCATACGGTATATTTTTCAAATGATGTTTTGCTATACAGTGCGTTTGCAGCAGTTACCTGCACCTTATTTGTCGTATAGAAGTGTGTGAAATGTGTTAGATTGGGTAACCCTGCACCGACTATTAAAATCATGTACATTTCATGTAACAATAGCACGTGTACTTTTAAAATCTAATAATCTATAGTGATATCATTTTTTTTCTTTAGTGAAAGCAGCGTCTAGCAATTTATTATCTTTTTTAGGTCCAGAAGCTGTCAAAAAATGAAGTATTGATGGTGAATATTGGTTCTCTCTCTAGTGGTGGATGCGTAATAGCAGTTAAAGGAGACCTTGCAAAAATCCGACTAAACAGCCCTGTTTGCACTCAGGTGGATGAAAAAATCGCCTTAAGCAGACGTGTTGAACGACATTGGCGGTAAGCGTTCGTCTCCACATTTTGAAAATGAGTTTTCACTACATTTTCTATCATTTTGAAACTTTATGAATTTATTTTATTTCTTTTTATTTGCAGACTAATTGGTTGGGGGGAGATCCGACGTGGTATTACAATCCAACCTGTTCAGTAACATGTAATGGTATTCTTTTTATCACCTAACTATGAAGATCCGTTGCTGTGAATGCTTATTGTGAATATACCACATCATTTTTATGAATTAATCTATGTAACTTAATTCATTGTCCAAACAAGTGCTTTTTAACTTGGATTGAATTGTTTTTCCCGTCCGTAATTAATGGTGATTTTTGTGCAAACGTTTGCTGATGGATCGTTATAAACTTTCGAAGATGCATGTGTAAATTTCTTCCTGAAGGGAGTCAGTAATGTCTTTGTCAGTTTTCGTACACAAAAGTTGAGTTTACTGTCTTTGCGATGTTCTTCTTGCAAAACCATCTGGACTTCTTGAAACCACACTAAGGTACCTTCCTTTGATTCTTTCCACCATAGTCACACAATTTTAAGGCGATGCGTTAAGGGTTTAACCTTTTCGTCTATGAGAAGTAATATTCATATATAGCTTCTTCTAGAAGCAGACATAGTTTATGTTTAGATCCCCCGTTAATAAAAGATACTTCAGACTTTGATATAGAATTAGTTACAATGAGAACTAAGGATGAAAAGGTCTTCAAAAAGTCTACCTCATAAGTTAATGGACAAGTAATGTCTATCTGTAATAAACAGATTACAGTGATGTTCATGAGTGAATTTGAAATACCGAACTTGACGAATAACTTACTTGACAGAAATAGTTTGAGTCATACAAGCTACAAAGGGGAATTCAATAAACGTGTTTAGCGATTAGACAATCAGTTTTGAGTTTAAGCTTCTGGTGATACTAAAAGCAGGCGAAATGATTCACCACACGAAACAGCTCTTCGTTTTTAAAATCACTTTTTCAGCATGGCTAATTAAACCAAACAGATAGGTTACGAATTAGCCGTGATTTATACTATGTATTCTCTCATTGCTGTGTCAGTTTTCTCTGAAGTTATCTGTGGTGTTGGTGAAATATCCTAATTTTTGTCGAGAATTACGTGTATTGTGCAGCAGTGATCTCTATCTCACTGCATATCGGTGAAACGTTATTAAAGGTTGAGAATTTGCGAACACTATGCATCTAACCAAAAATTTCCATCGTATTATTGCCTACTCTTGTTGAATTTGTGTGAGCAATGCGGAAACAGTTAGGCTTTGAGTATGGGATACAAGTTAGTTGAGGTTGTATACCTCCAGTTTCTGAATAGCCTGAATATTTAACGCTTACCTACACAACGTAGGATATTAGTGGAAGCATGTTGGTAAAAAGCTTAAGGTGACTAGTAGGAGACATTACCAGTTCACTAAACCTCCAAGTAGCATTATGATCTGTATATTTAAATCTATGTTTGCTGGTTACGATCTCTGTGAAAAACATGATAAGCGATTGCATACTCTATTTGTAAGTTAATGTCTGAGGTGACAACAACTACTGTCTTCCACGAATATCCACTATCACCAATCCCGTTTAGCTTTATTGTGGATAAGTTGATGGTGTGAACTCCTTCGAAGATTTTTTTGTTGCTCCTAGAAAATCTGGTTGATTTAGAGCACGCAAAGGATTTAAGTCTAACAATATGCAGTCAACTAACTCTTCATCCTTACATTCACTTAGTGTTTTGTAGAGAAGAATATTTTACTGAGAAAAGTGAAAACCATATACGTTAGGAAGCTGAATCTTACAATTTCTGTGTTGACTACTAAGTAGAGAACTGAGCTTTGCAATTCTTAAGATTATCTACTTGAAACTAAATACAATTATATTAAGCACATCGTCTTAAGGGAGAACTTATATTTGAACTTAGAACCTTCAAAAATGTAGCCACAATGCGTATTAGTATTCTCAAAAATAATCAGTGTTTCTTATCAGCACTGGGTTCGGTTCATTTTACTAGGTATTTATTAGTGATAAAGTAATCAGTTTGAAACCAAAATTCTAATATACTGCAGTAACTAAAAGAACTAATCGCCAAACCTAAGGTTATGTACTTATCTAGCTTTCGTTATTGCCCATACTTAGCTTGTTTGGAGACGGACTACCGATGAACTTATCTACGACGGGATTTATGTCTTATTATTTAGCATTATAGGCTGTTACTACCATCTGCCAGCTACTTCAACAATAAATCGATACATGAGTGTGCACTATGAATAAAATATTCAGGTAGTTGATAGATTCTGAACCCAAATATCCAAAAGTTTAAGGATTTTCAAATTCCCGTTACAGAAAACGGGGTTTTCTAATGCTGTACATGTAAATCGAACCCTCATAGTGTGTTGTTAGTCTATGGGAAATTGTTTCGCATCTCTTGGTGTGTTTAACTGGACAAGTGTATTTTACCAATTTTTCAAATCAAGCATAC